CACGTAATCAGATACTTGGGAGCTGAGGCAGGGAATTGCTTTGAACCTGTGAGGCAAAACGTTGCAGTGAGTTGAGATCGCGCCACTGCACTCCAGCCTGGGGGACCAAAAGAAAAACAAAAAAAAGTCCTATTTTTACTTTAAAGCAATAAATTGACAACTTCACTGAGATTTCTTAAAAAAAAAACCCTAGTGGTATTTTGATTGGATTCCCCATTAGGTTTGTAGATTAATTTAGAGAGAACTGACATTTTTTATATAGTATATGATACATAGGCTTTCATTTTTCTTTCTTTATGATCTTCAGAGACATTACTATTTTTCTCCATATGGTTTTGTTTTTTTTTTTGTTTTTTTTTGAGACGGTCTGGCTCTGTCCCCAGAGCTGGAGTGCAGTGGCCGGATATCAGCTCACTGCAGCTCCACCTCCCGGGCTTACGCCATCTCCTGCCTCAGCCTCCGGAGTAGCTGGGACTACAGGCGCCCGCCACGTCGCCCGGCTAGTTTTTGTATTTTTTTTAGTAGAGACGAGGTTTCGCCGTGTTGCCAGGATGGTCTCGATCTCCTGACTCGTGATCCGCCATCTCGGCCTCCCAAGAGTGCTGGGATTACAGGCTTGAGCCACTGTGGCCCGGCCTTTTTTTTTTTTTTTTTTGAGACAGGGTCTCACTGTTGCCCTGGGCTGGAATGCAGTGGCACCATCTCGGCTCACTGCAGCCTCTGCCTCCCAGGCTCAAGCGATTCTCATGCCTTCAGCCTCTCAAGTAGCTGGACTGCAAGCATATGCCACCATGCGCCAGCTAATTTTTGTGTTTTTCTTTCTTTCTTCCTTTTTGGATACAGAGTCTTGCTGCATTGCGAGGCTGGAGTGCAGTGGTGCGACCTTGCTCACTGCAACCTCCGTCTCCCAGGGTCAAGCATTCTGTCCCTGCCTCACTTTCCCTAGTAGCCTCGCCGCCTCTCAGGTCGCTATGAGCCTAGCTGAGAGAATTCAAAGACCCAAATAACAGAGAGAAATACCATGTTCACCAGACAGAAGTTACTAATTCTCCCTCAACTGACCTACAGATTCAACACAATTCCAATCAAAATGCCAGAAGCCTTTTTTTTTTTGGTAGAAATTGACAAATAATTCTAAAATT